TAATAACCATTCCCACCCAACTCTCCCCCCCTCCCATTCAACTGAATTTTTCCTAATTACTTTTGATATTATTTTCACATTATAAATTATAAAGTTGATTTCTGGGCACAAGCTTGCCCTAGCTGGTGATGCTGCTCTTTGTTACAAAAATATTAGTTGTAGTTCTGCCTTGGAGAGCATCTGATCGAACCTCACCATCGTTTAGGAAACTGAGGTCTAGAGTGGCTAAGGATTTCACAAGCTGTTGTGATGGAGCTGAGAGTCAAACCTTGGTGTTCCAATATATAGTCGAGTCTTTTTCCCACTTTTCCACTCAGCTGTTCTTTCATAACTTGTCAACTATGAGCATAAGACTGGGATTCAAAGCTGGAGGACTCCTCATTGACCCTCTAATCTAGTCCCCTCATTTTATAGATGAGAGTCCAGCAAAGTTAAGAAGCTGCCTAAGTGCACACAAATAGTCTGTTCAGTTGTGTCCTACCCTTTGTGACCCCTTTTGGGGTTTTCTTGGCAAAGATACTGGAGTGGTTTGCTGTTTCCTTCTCCAGCTCCTTTTACAGAACAGGAAACTGAGGCAAACAGGATTAAGTGACTTCGCTAGGGTGGCACAGCTAATAAGTGTCTGAGGTCTGATTTGAACTTAGGTCTTCCTGACTCCAGGCCCTGTATTCTATCTACTGTGCCACCTAGCTGCCCCCTGGAGTTCTCTATATCAATAAAAATCATAAGACCTATTCCAATCCTGTGTGCACAAACCAGTTTAAGCAAAAAGAAAAAATAAAGGGGCAACTAGATGGTGAAATAGATAGAGCACCAGTTCTAGAGTCAGGAGGATCTGAGTTCAAATCCGGCCTCAAACACATAACACTCACTGGCTGTGTCTCTGAACAAGTCACTTAACCCCAATCGCCCTCACCAAAAAAGAAAGAAAGAAAGAAAGACAAAATAAAACAAAAAATGGCTGAATTCAGTTAAAAACAACTTAGAAGCCCCACCCTTTCCCTAATATATCCGATTCAAAGGGTTTTTTTCTTTTAATGCAAATATTCCTTTAATATAATTAGTATATGACTCTTTTTTAAATTTTAGGGAAATAAAATAAAGTTTAATTTTTAAACAGGTTTAAATGTGATGAAATAGTCTTGAAAGACCTGGAGGAGGAGTGTAAAGATAGAAATTGAGCAGTTGGTACAGTGTCCTAGGTTTAAGAAATAATAATAATATCAGTAACAACAGCAGCCATGGTAGCAAACATTTATATAGTCCATTAAGGTATGCAAAGCATCTTATTTGATCTTCGACCAGGGGGTTACGTGATGTTACAAGTCCCATTTTATACGTGAGGAAACTGAGGTTCAGATAGGTGAAGGAACCTTATATGAAGGCATAAGGTAATAGAGAAATCAAGAAAAGATTGAGGAAATTGGCACGGCCCTGAAAGTTAGGCAGAAGACAGGGCTTGGCCTTTATGGTTCTGCAGTTGGATGTTTTGGGGCTTTGGTTGGGTAGTGAGGGTTATCTGTTGATTTGCTGAGTGGGTAAGCTTCCACTTCCTGTCTCAGTTTTTCCATCTGTAAAATGGGTAGGCATGCCTACATGCAGCAAGGTGGTAGAGTGCATGGAACACTGGGCCTAGAATCAGAAAGATCTGACTTCCACTCTAACCACAGACACTTACTAGCTATATGTCCCTGGGTGAGTCATTTAATCTCTGCCTGCCTCAGTTTCCTTATTTATAAAATATGGACAATGATAGCACTTACCTTCCAGAGTTGTTGTGATATTAAAATGAGATTAGTATTTGTAAAGCATTTTGCAAATCTTAAAGTGCTATATAAATGCTAGCGATTATTACAAGATGGTGATACCTGACAGTTGTCATTAGAGGAAACATTTCAAGATCTTTGTATTGAAATAAACTTCTGATATTTTCAATGGAGATCTACCTTAGTTTTTAGTATTTGAAAATATAAGTAAGAGAACCAAAGATTTTGATCTGTTTTCCCAGGTAAAAAAAATGTGATTATTAATAATTGTTAAGTAATAACAGAGGCAGCTAGGTGACAAGAGACTGGGTTGGGAACCAGGAGGACTCATCTTCCTGAGTTCAAATCCAGCCTCAGACACTTAATAGCTGTGTCTTACCTCATGCAAGTCACTCAACTCTGTTTGCCTCAGTTTCCTTATCTATAAATTGAGCTGGAGATGGCAATGGCAAACCGCTCTAGTATCTTTGCCAAGAAAACCCCAAATGGGGTCATGGAGAGTAGGACATGATTGAAACAACTCAGCAACAGCAATTAACCAGTAGTGATTAAAATTTTTTATCAAAAGCATTTGATTCAATCCTGAACATTTTCTTAAGGAGCCTACTTTAAAAAAAAAAAAAAAAGCTAATGATACAGTCTAAAGACACTGCAGTGACCTACACAAAATATTCTTGTAAAACTTAACTCTGACCACAAAACCAATCTGTCTCCATTTTAATTCTTATGGAAAGCACATACCAAAATCAATGTATTATTGTAATCATGGTAATAAATGTAATACAATATCACTTTTATTATGTTCCAGTGCTTAAAACATTCCTCATGTGCAGAGCCAGAATAATTAAAGATGGGAAAAGATCTGTTAGGAAGTTTTTTTTTTTTTTTAATTTATAATGAAAAGATGGCAGAAGCAGGGGAAAGGAGAATTAAATTCGTTTTTATGTTAGAAGCCAAAGTCATCACTTTTATTCTTAGATTCTTAGTCCTGAAGATGTTTAAATAAAGACCTTTTCTGACAGTTTGTTCCCCTTATTCAGGCACAGAAGAAACGCTTATTTCAGCCTTTTGTCATCTTATGAACACAGGAGGCCTTACTGTTCCCAAGTTTCCTCTTCTCTTGGCAAATGTTTCCCTCTCAATTCCACATCTGAAAGTTCTAAACATTTTCAGAAAACAACAAAAACAAAAATAAGACCCCAAAGAAATAAATAAAAAAACAGTACTCATTCCTGGGACAATATGGTATAAGTTGTTTCATTTGCTGGGGAGTCTGAAAGTTGTATTTCAGTTGTTTGCTTGAGGCCAGGAAGGAAGCCCCAGCATGGCTATGATCTGAGCTATATGCTTCCTCTCGGAAGTCACGAGTTCCTGAACAGAAGATGGGCAGGTAGATCACAGATTGCAGGCTCAGTAGCACTGAGTACATATCTTGTGTTCATGTGCTCACTTTTTCGTTGGAGGAAACTCTGCTGGAGTTGGGAGGTGGCGGGAGGGGGTGATTTGCTGAGCTGTAATGAAGGTGGGGCCAGCTTAGCTTTGTGCCAAATTTAAAGGGCACTGACAGCATTTGTGGCCCTTCAACATTATAAACATCATCAACACATTTTGTTAAGCTCCTACCATGTTCCAGACAATGTTGGGGCTACAAACACAAAGAATGAAACAATCCCTATTCACAATGACCTTAAATTCTAATGGGGGAGACAACAAATGCTTATAAAAACAATGTATACTAGCTGTGTGACCGTGGGCAAGTCACTTAACCCTGATTGCTTCACCAAAAAGCAAAAAAAAAAACCAAAAAAAAAAAAACCCAAAAAACCAAACCTAAACAAAACAAAACAAAAAAAACAATGTACAGAATAGAGATTGTCCCAAAAATCTTAGTGCAAATTTTTTCAAGACAGTGTAAAGTTGATAAAGAGTTTTGTACCTAGTTAGCACGAATAATTAGATAAAATGAGAAACTACCAGATGATTCCCTCCTACCCTTTCAACTCAGGGTATACTTTGTGCCCTTTGCCCTGGGCACAAAAATTTCTAGATATGACTGGTGATTGGGACCAATGAATACCTTTGAGGAACTCTTCCATACCCGATATTTGCAATATTTCACCTGACATTTTCCGTGCTCAATTTATGGTCTCTGTCATACCAATCTGATCCAGAAAGCCGAGGCAAACAATGGGACAAAACTTCTATAACCTAAAAGCTCTGCCTACATAACTCCTGAGGAATGCCACATTCTTTTAAAGGCATGTATATACACACACACACACACTCACACACACACACACACACATACACACATACATATATACGCACATACGTACACATACCTACACACATACATATATTATATGTGTGTATGTACATGTGTGTACATGGCTCATATGTATATGTATGTAAATATATGTATATATGTATATATATATATGGCTCATTTCCCCTTACCAGTAGGAGGAGATCTTTGGTGTGTAATAAAGCTTGCTGGGGTAGCCAGTACTGTCCGTGAGACCTTGGCCGAGTTACTTAATGCCTCTGTGCTGAGGTTTCCTCATCTGAAAAATGACAGGGTTGGATCAGGTGACTTTTGAGGTTCTTTCTAGTTTCATATCTCTGACCCTATAACCCTATGCCTAGTCGTCACGCTTTGTAACTTTTGATTCCACAGGAAGTAAATTCTATTGTGTTAAAGAAACCATGATAATTGTAACATTCAAGAAGCCTCTTGTACCCGAACACATGGTCCAGCAGATTTTTCTTCAATCATTCCCAAAGTCAATCACGCCAGCTTTGATTATTAAAGCCACTAAGATCATCTCCTCTTTCTCCCAGGCTCCCAGAACCCACACTCGGCACAGGTGGTATACCCTTGATTAAATTTTGGTCCATTCAAATAGCCTGCTAGTGGTTCCCAGAAAGCCAAGCCCGATTTCCTCTTTCTAGTATGTCTAAATAAAACATTTTTTTTTCTGGTGGAAGCGCAGATCCTTAAAAGGCCATCACAAGAAGCAAGAGAGGGAAGGGGTTTGTTTACTGGAGTCTCATTTGATGAATTTGACAATTTTCAGTATTTAGTCTATAACTCCCATCATAGGGTCAGTCTTAATAGACAGTGCAGTTTTTTGTAGTAAATACCCTGGATCATACACTTCAGTTAGCCTGGGGGCCATAGTGGAAACCTTGAATCTCTTAGTCCTTTTCCTCATTGACTTAACAATCAAAAAAGTATTTATTAAGGTCCTATTACATACAAGGCACTGGGACTAGGAAGTGAATAAGCATTTACTAAACACTTACTATATGCCAGGCACTGTGCTAAATGCTTTACAAATGTTATTTCACTTGATTCTCACAACCACCTTGGGAAATAGGTGCTATTCTTATCCTCATTTTACAACTGAGGAAACTGAGGCAGGCAGCGGCTAAGTGATTGACCAGTAAATACCTGTGTGTCTAGATTTGAAGTCAGGCCCAGTGCTCTCTGTCCACTAACCACTCAGCTGCCCTGGCTGTGGATGCAAGTACAAAGAATGAAACAATCTTTACTTGCAAAAAAGCTTACTTTCTAATGGTCTTAAGCCAACATCTTTATTAACTGCTTGTATCTTATATTTTGATATTTCATCTACACCTGGGTTGGGGAACCTTTGGCCTCAAAGCACATGTGGCCCTCTAGGACCTCAAGTGCGGCCCTGAACTCGAGGATCCAGAGGGCTACATGTGCCTCGAAGCCGCAGGTTCCCCACCTCTGGTCTACACAAACACGTTTTCTAACTAGCTTTTATCCTGTGGGTCCCATTTTTGTCCTTTTGCTATACTGTACTTGTCTCCCCAACAAGCTATAAGAAGGAACAAATGACATGGGTGGGGGGCAGGGGGCAAAGGGGGGGGATACTTCTCTGATGAGGAATTATACAAAAACCTATGGCCGTCTAAGCTGATTCTGAGAAACCCCATAGGAATTTCTTGAGGCTTGGGGGTGGAATGGTCTAGGTGGGTCCGAGTAGTTCAATGCTTGAGGTGAAATGACTAAAATTGAACAGAATGTTTAAAATGCTCTCAATGAGGTAGTGTGGAGCAGTGGTCGGAGCTCTCGATTTGGAATTCAGGGACCAGAGTCCAAATCCTGGTTCTATAATTATTTAACCTCGTTGGGACCTAGTTGCCTCATCTGTAAAATGAGAGTTAATGACCTCCAAAGACCTCTTGCTTAAAAATTTATAGACAATTGCACTTCAAAGGATTTGTTACAGGATGGTTTCACTACTTTCTCAAAGCTTTCTATCATCCTTATCCCCGGGAGCTTATCTAGCTTTTCTAAAGCCCTGAAGGGTTGTTCAGAGTATTCCTTTAAGGCTTTGCAGAACCGCTCCCCTCCCCCACTTCTCAAAGACTGAAGAAAGTTGAGATTGAATGTTTACTTTTCACCCTATCATTGGGAAACAGCTTGTGATTCCCACCTCGGGTTGCCCCGGCAGCCAGTATCCTGTCCCCAATCTTTTAGGGGTCATGTGATTGCCCTCTGGGAAGTCTCCAAAGACTTACAAAACTTCCCAGAGGCTAAAGAAGGGTATGAATATTGCATGAATAACAATAACCATTCTACTTAGCATTTATGTAACACTTTCTCTTTCTACAATGCTTTACAATAATTAATTAGTTATTCCGCAAAACTCCTTCTCTCTCCCTCTCCCTTCCCACACCTCCTCATTCAAGGATACTATTATTTCCATAATAATAATCTCTTTGAGATTTAACTTAAAGGTTGAAATGCACTGGAATCGAAAAATGTATAGGGTTTAAACTAGGTGGACTACAGAAGTTAGAACCGTAACCAGAGTGGGGCGATGGGGCTTTGTCTTCCCGTGCTTCCTGCCCCCACTTTCTCAACTGACTTTGGGCTGCTATCCCCTGACTCCTCTCTTAGGGTTCCCCTTCCTCCTCCCCACATCCCCTCCTTCTCCAGAGACTGGGACTGTTAGCTGTACTACGGGGGTTGATGCTAGGCAGTTTGAGAGACAGGCCACCCCTTTTTCCAGCACTATCAAACCCAGAGTTCACTATCCTCTGTATCATACCTTCCCTCCGGCCTGATGGGTGCAAGCAGTCCTTTGATTTGTTCAGATTTGGTGCTTCTTTCTAAGAGAAACAGGGAAAATATGGCAAACTCTGCAAGGACTAAGGCCACGTGCTTCCGTTTTGGCTTTCTGCCTGGTGCTCTGGACGTGGTTGCACCTTGACGAGGGCTCCAGCCCCATGACACTTAGCTCAACATACATGTGGCAAAGCTTCAGCTTTCCAATAGAAAGGTTCCCCATCCTTAACAAGTTGGGTCCTCCCAAACTGGAGCCGTTGCGTGCTTACTCCTGTTAAAGTGGCTTGGGACCTTCTTTGTAAACGCTGCTTGCATTGCAAGCCATGATCCTTTTCACAAATCTACGTGGAAATGGCCACAGGCATCGCCAAGGCGATCATATCCTCGTCCTTAATTTATGGGAGGCAATATCCAGTAGTGGATAGAGCACAGGGTTTTGAGTCAGAGGACATGGGTTCAAATCCCAAGTCATCTCTTTCCCACTTGTGCAAACTTTGGCAAATCAATCACCTCCTCTAGGCTTCATTTTTTGTCATCTGTAAAATGAGGAATTTGGGCTAGTCATGGGTGGGAAACCTGAGGCCTCAAGGCCACATGTGGCCTTCTAGGACCTTGGGTGCAGCATTTTGACTGGTGAAGTTTGGATTCAGTCAAAGGGCCCCACTTGAGGACCTAGAAGGCCACAGGTGGCTTCGAGGCCGCAGGTTCCCCACCCTGGATAATCACTGAAATCCCTTCCAATTCTGAATAAATAGGCCCATGACCACCGTAAATGAGGGTGCTCAAGTTCTGCACTTGTCTCTAGTGTAGAAGCCACCTAACTCCCGTCCAAAAGAAAACCCCAAATTGTCTGAACATTCTACCCACAATCCCATCTGGATGGGCCCTTCTCTTCTTGGATCATTCATCCAGTGTGATGGCGACCAGGCTTAGAGTTCATTCCACAGTGAACAGGCTCAGAGTTCCCATTTGGACTGGCTGCTACGGAAACACCATAGAGGTCTCATCAGTCAGTGCTTCATTAGGCTGAAAATGTATTGATCCAGTTGCACTATGTGAGCTTTTGAGTGTCTTAATCCTGGCCTGTGACTCTCTAGGAATTAATTAGTAAAGCTTGCTCAGGCAGGAAAAGCAAATAGACATTTTAATGCAGTTTGATTGAGGGCCACTGTTATACTTTTCTAAGTATTAAATTCTTTACTGAACAAAGAGCTTCTTCCCTAAATTTTGAAATAATAATGATGATGATGATGATAGACTAATAAAAAAACTTTTCAATTTTAAACCTTAATAGCTTAAGTACTAACACTATTCGTACTTAAAAAGTACTAATTGCTTTTGTTTATAATAGTACTTATTTAAGTGTTTACTACTTAAATAGTAATACTATTAAAGTTTTAAGCTTCAATAGCTCCAATATGTCAATACTCATCGCTTAAATAGTAATACTATTAAAGCTTTAAGTTTCAATGGTTTTAATGCTATTAGTATTTAAATTGTATTAATTAAAGGAGCATTGTTTTAATTTAATAACAGTATTTATTAAAATGCTTAAGTACTTGACACATAATCTTATTAAAGTATTAAGCTTTAATTGCTTATAATCGCACTGACATGTGAGACACCCTGTCAGAATTTCACAAAGTGTTTTATACACATCTTGTTTAATCCTCACAACAACCCAAACAAATAGGCATCAGAGGCATTGCTGTTGTTGTTGTTATACCCATTTTATACATAAAGAAACTGAGACTCTGAGAAATGAAGGTAACTTATAGCCTCAGACCTCTTCCAGCCCTAGCTGGATTTTCAAAGGTCTTTTTCAACTTCCGAGCCCTTCTGCATTTCCAGAGGGCCACTACTCACCGAAGGATCCCTGGCTATTTGCTCTTTTGAAAAGCTAACGGAACTTTTTACTCCATTATGTTTGGGGCAAGCTGTCAATGTAAGAGTGATTGAATGTTGCCCCTATTTGAGAGAAGAGGGCAAACAACCCAGAGAAATGAGGTAAGATCAGAGGATCACAAGTTGATTAAAAAAAAAGGAGGGGACCATGGACATCACTGAGTTCAGTATACTCATCTTACAGATGGGATAACTGAGGCCCAGAGAGGCAGGTTATACAGGTAGCAAATAAGAGAGCCAGGATTTGAACTCAAGCCCTTTTACTGCAAATTTAGTGCTCTTTCCCCCTACACTATGCTCATATTGCAACTGGGAGCATAAATACAAGTAAAGCCTTTATTTATTTTTTTTTTAATTTTGATTTCCCTCTTTATGTGAAGTCATGCTTGCTTCTTAGGGCCCAAATAAAGATGATCGCATTACAGTTGTCCTAAAACACCCTGTCTGGCTGCCTCATGGATTTCATTCTGCTGTGTCCTCTTTGGTTTGCGAACCCTGTAAATTTTCCAGCCTGACTCTCAGACTTTCTCTTCCTAATTTTAAACTCTCCTCTTCCATGTTTAGCACTGGCTTCCATTCTTCCTTGTCGCATTGGGTGTCGTCTCCCTAGTTAATTCGAAAGTCTTATACTTGATAGCTCCTGCCACCTAAAGTAAACTGCTTGCTTTGCAGTTGTTTATAAAGCTCACCCAAAGCCTTATTAATCCCAAGGCACCCACCATGACACATTAGAACCGAGGTACCTGCTGTGCCCTCTTATCTCTTCTCTTTGGAGCTATTACTGGTGAAGGAGGAGGATACTAAAAAAAAACAACCCTGTAATGTTGAGGGTCAGGTAGGAGAAGAGGGGAACTTTACATTAAAAGTGAGGGATTTATTTTAAGATCTCTCTTGTTTGGTTCAAGTGAATTAACAAGATGGACTTCCTAGCTTTCGGTAGTACTAGAAATTCATGGATGACCCCAAGGCTAATTTTCAGAGTTAAATTAAGCAATGGAGACTCCAGGTGTATCAAGCCTCACCCTTGCCATAGTGTACATGGCATACCCTATACCACCAGCAAAGTGGTAGAGAAAATGAAACTTGGCTTGGCCTCTATGTAGCTTCGTCTTTGAATGTGCATATCTGGGCTGGATCTGACCCAAATGGCCTGTTTTGATCAAGACCTTTTCCAAGAGGCTCATTTGGAACCAAGATTCCTGCCATCTGAAGGCCTCAGGGAGAAAGATCAAGATATACTATTTAGTTTTTATATACATTTTTAATTATCTGTGTACATTACATTCATACATCACAACTTGTTCAGCCATTCCCCAATTGATGGGCATCCCTTCATTTTCCAATTCTTTGCCACCACAGAAAGAGCTGTTGTAAATATTTTTGCACATGTGAGTCATTTTTCAATTAGTAGTCCTTTTCTCATTTGTATGATCTCTTTGGGATACAGTCCTAGAAGTGCTATTGCTGGGTCAAAGGGTATGCACATTTTTATAGCCCTTTGGGCATAGTTCCAAGTTGTTCTCCAAAATGGTTGGATCAGTTCACAACTCCACCAACAATGTGTTAGTGTTCCAATTTTCCCACATCTCCAACATTTATCATTTTCCTGTTTTGTCATGTTAGCCAGTTTGATAGGTGTGATGTGGTACCTCAGAGTTGTTTTGATTTGCATTTCTCTAATCAATAGTGCTTTAAAGCATTTTTTCTTATGACTATAGATAGCTTTAATTTCTTCATCTGAAAACTTCCTGTTCATATCCTTTGGCCATTTATCAATAGGGGAATGACTTGTATTCTTATAAATTTAACTTAGTCCTCTATATATTTTAGAAATAAGGCCCTTATCAGAGACACTGGTGGTAAAAATTCTTTCCCAGTTTTCTGCTTCCCTCCTAATCTTGATTGCATTGGCTTTGTGCAAAAACTTTTCAATTTAATGTAATAAAAATTATATCCATTTTGCATTTCATAATGTTCTCTTTCTCTTGTTTGATCCTAAATTCTTTTGTTCTCCATAAATCTGACAGGTAAACTATTCCTTGCTCTCCCAGTTTGCTTATAGTATCAGCCTTTATATCTAAATTGTGTACCCTTTTGACTTTATTTTGATATATGGTGTAAAATTTTGGTCTATGCCTAGTTTCTGCCATACCTAATTTCCAGTTTTCCCAGCAGTTTTTGTCAAATAGTGAGTTCTTATCCCAGAAGCTGGGGTCTTTGGGTTAATCAAACAATAGATTACTATAGTCATTGACCACTGTGTCTTGCATACCTAACCTATTCCACTGATCCACCACTCTCTTTCTTAGCCAGTACCAAGTAGTTTTGATGATTGCTGCTTTATAATACAATTTAAGATCTGGAATGCGTAGGTCACCCTCTCTAGCATTTCTTTTCATTAATTCCCTTTGATTCTGGATCTTTCGTTCTTCCAGATGAATCTTCCTTCTTAGTTTTTCTAGCTCTATAAAATGATGTTGTGGTAGTTTGATTGGTATGGCACTGAATAAGTAAATTAATTTAGGTAGAATTGTCATTTTTATTATATTAGCTTGGCCTACTCATGAGCAACTGATGTTTTTCCAATTATTTAAATCTGTCTTTATTTGAGTAACAAGTGTTTTGTAATTGTGTTCATATAGTTCCTGGTTTTGTTTTGGCAGATAGACTCCTAAATATTTTATAAAGTCTACAGTAACTTTAAATGGAATTTCCCTTTCTATCTCTTGCTGTTAGGGCTTTGTTAGTAATATATAGAAATGCCAATGATTTATGTGGGTTTATTTTATATCCTGCAACTTTGCTAAAGTTGTTTATTATTTCAAGTAATTTTTTTACTTGATTTTTTTTTTTTAGGATTCTCTAAGTATATCATCATATTATCTGCAAAGAATGATAGCTTTGTTTCTTCTTTGCCTATTCTAATACCTTCAATTTTTTTCTTCTCTTATTGCTAAAGCTAACAACAGTGGCGGTAATGGACATCCTTGTTTCACCCCTGATCTTATTGGAAATGCTTCTAGCTTATCCCCATTATATATAATGCTTACTGAAAGTTTTAAATAGATTAATAAAATGACTTTTCTAGACTTTGGATAGGAACAGTTGATAAAATTTTTCCTAATCTTTTCCCTTTCTTAGAGAGATACAGCTACAGTGAGTTTGGCCTTAGCTAGA